GCTCAAGCTACTATTTCTTTGTCAATAATAACTTATTTTATCCATCTCTCACAACCTTAATCCATTTAAAACTTTCTAAAATCAACACTCTAATCACCCTTTTGCTGCATGTTACAAAAAATAAATTTTTACAAAATCTTAAACTCGTAATCTTTTTTCTTATGAGATTGAGGAAAAAATTCACCCAGTGAATACAATAAAACTTGCAGTTCTGAAGTTCTCAGTCTTTAAAAAGCAATATTTTTTTTTAAAGTAAAATCCAAAGTGATTAAGAAGCGAGGTTTGGCTGAACCTTGAGTCCATGAAGGCTACAGTCATAGCTATAAGCTCAATGAAATCCTGCAACTCTCAGCTGATTGCAAGCAGCCACAAAAACCTTGGTTCCTGCTGTCTAGTCACATAAAACAGCTGCCTGGAGTATGTGTGGGTGATCTTGAAGATCTCTCCTTTCTCTGGAAAGATTTTGGTGTCCGGATCCAGCATCCAGCCACCATTTTCGGCTGTCATGTCTCCCACTGCTCCACGGGACATTAGTTCGCCACTTCCTCACCAGAAGCTCTCCACATACAAGTATGGACAGATGTATCAATACTGCCAGTGTTTACCAGCTATTCAATGCAAGAACATCTGTATTCTTGCATTGAATAGCTGGTAAACATTGGCAGTGTGATAAGAAAGTTAACCAGTTGTGTGGGTTGATCTAGGCTTAAGTTGAAATTTGGGAGAGATTATTGAAGTCCAAACAGAACTTTGGCAGGTCTTTTGTCCCTGAGTCCAGATAATAATGAATAATTTACTATAATAAATAATAACTAATATATCTCAGGTGGAGAAGAGGTTTTGCAGGGGCAGGAGCTGAGGAAACATTCTTTTAAATCAGCCATAAATGTGTTGTGATACTGTAGTGCCATGTGAGTGCATATGATTGTGCTGTTGATTGGAGATACAGATTTTGTCCAAAATAAAAAATAATATGGTTTTCCCAGGATTTATGCTTGGTATATTTGATGGAGTGGTCTGTGATCCATAAAATTTAAGAGACTTGTTAGGCTGTAAGATGCCAGAAAACCTTTATAGTCACAGCTTGCATATTCTGTTTGATCATGTTCAAAAGGGGAAAAAGAAGTGCAAATTACAAGAAAAATTGTTAGCAGTCATAGTTAACTAGCATTGTAATGGTATGAACAATTTTTAAAACTCAGAAACAAATGTCCTGTTGCTGAATAATATGTTGTTTTGGAGTTCAATTAATAGTTTGTGGAAAATGTTTTAAAGATAAATGTTTGCTTACTGAAGTAATAGAGCATGTAGGCTCACTGCAAAGGGGATGTGGTGGCGCAGCGGCTTAATGACACTGAAAGTTGCCGGCCAGAAATGGTCGACGCTTCAGTGGTTTGAGTCCAGCCTTTGCGTTAACAGGGTGAGCTCCT